CTGGGAAACTATGGGGGGGGGAGGGGGATGGGATTAACAGTAGCAAATATCTGTCTGGGAAGGGGAAACACCTCTTATCAACAGGGTGCCTGAATGAAACTTAATTGTACACCTAACCCTTAACCGTACCCCACAAAACCATAATAAAAAATATTGATTTAATAAAAATAAATAAATAAAAGTTTAATTCCTGACTCAAAAATAAATAAATAAACAGACAGAAAACTTTAATTCAAATCAAGCTATTTCTGAGAATGAAAAGATAGGCTATGAATAGTTTGCTGGTCAGTGGCATAAAATGGTATTGTTCCAGAAAAACTGGGCCTTTTTTTTTTTTTTCCGTGAACAAGCCAAATTCAGTTTAGCATACTGATAAGTTTTCAGCAAGACTGGAATAGAAGTGACTCAGGGGTAAAAAGGAGCCCTTAAACTCAGCCCAGTCAACTTCATCAAGATTCTATTCTGGCATGAAAACTATTCTTGTTAATGACAGGTCTAAAATAGTACTTACTCAGTGGGTGGTACACAGGTTTATGTAATCCTTGAAGTTTTATTGATGCCATAGCAGCAAGTTTGCCAGGCGGCTGCATTTTCCCATCTAAGAGATACCACATTCGAGCAAAAGTTGCCCATTGCTTGAAAAAAATAAAGAGGAAAAAATAAAGAAAATTCTAATTAAAATGGAAATACAGTAACTGAATTTGTTATTACATACCACTGTAGGTATTCTACAGTTAATGTCAACAATTACTTTGAAAAATGACTATCACTAAAAAAACTTTGGTTTTCACTCCTACTTTTGGAAAAGGGGTCTTTTCTCACTGTGCTGCAAAGGCAAACTCAGTTATTTTTCCTGTCTGCTTCTCTATTAGCAAGGTGACTCATGCTTTGTTATAATCATCTCAAAGATATATCTCCCTTTACATCAGGATTTACATTTTTTGTATAACACGGGTAATAAGAAGCTCTTATGAAAGCAGAAGCTGTTGACGGAGGTCTTCGGAAACATTGTGAGCTGAGAAAATCCATCACGTTGAAAGCTGAGTGGCCAACCGAAAGTAGAGATGATTCAGGAGTCCAACTCCAGGGAAGAGCTAAACAGAACAACGTAGCTGAGCAAGTACGCATGAATGATGTTGAGAAAAACTCCATTTTAAAAAGCTGCCAGAGGCGGACGTCTCTGCGCTCCCCTGTCGCTCCAATCTGCATTTCACCGAGGGTGACGAACACCCGGGAGAGTGGAGAGACCCAACAGGACTCCGCTGAGGCTCGTCCGGGTGCGTGTCCCGCAAGACGTGGGGACCTCACGCCGCTCGCCGGGGAGCCACTG